AAATGAGTCCCCAGGCCAAAGCAAACCTGCAGACTTTTATGTCTACTGGTCCATCACAGGGAAGAACATGTTCCCTATTTCTCTGCCTGTTGAAGCCCATTGCAAATGCCACCTCCCCACAGCTGAATTCCAGTCTGGAGCAGCTCCTGGTGTCAGACATTGCCCAAGGACTATTCAGACATCACGACTAGTCCTCACAGTAAATAGATAGACAGATAGATAGATAGACAGATAGATAGATAGATAGATAGATAGATAGATAGATAGAAGATAGATAGATAGACAGACAGACAGAGATAGAGAGACAGATAGATGTGCAAGGTCACACAGTTACAAGTCTCCCTCTCTGTCACCTTTGTGCTTCTGTGATGGCCCCAATCCTTATATCAATGATGTAGGCACGTCTTCCACCCCCTGCCCTCCCCATGACCCGCCACACACACGATTGTCAACCTAGAGCATTGCCAGGCTTATAGGAAAACCACGATAAAAATTTGTTGAAAGAAGAGACTACATCTATACCTTGTATCGTACCTCGCCTAGTGCCTGGCATTAAATAGTTTCCTCTGTCAAAGGTGCAGTACCTGACCAAATAAGGGGATGAACCAAGGGGACCGATCAGAAGAAGACACGTCATGGCAAAACCTCAGCTATCCAAAGCTTTCTAGAAATGAGTCACTCTGAAGGCTGAGGCCGAACCTTAGAACCAGGAAGAAGAATCCTGGGGCTGCTTCTGTCTCAGGGCTACCCTTGCTTCCACCCCCGTTTTCTGAGTTCCCCAGTCCCCTTGATCTTCTTTTCCTCCCACTCTTCTTTCTTTGCTTTTCTGTTGTTCCTCCAAAGCTTCTCAGCTTCTGTTTGAGCAAACTAATTGCAATCTTTTCCTGGGGCTGCCCTTCCATACATGCCTTTTTGCGCCCTGTTCCCCTCACTGCAGCATTCCCCCTTCCACAGAACCTTCCCTGACCTTCTCAGGCAGCTGGGGTGCTTCTCTCATCTGCGTCTTTGTGCCCCACCATACCCCCTACAGGTGTCTGTGATCATGTCCACCTTAGTCGCTGGACTGTGAGTTTCTTCTTTTTTTTTTTAATTGAAGTATAGTCAGTTTACAATGTGTCAACTTTTGGTGTACAGCATGCTTCAGTCATACATATACACATATACTCCTTTTCATATTCTTTTCATTATAGGTTACTACAAGATATTGAATATAGTTCCCTGTGCTATACAGTAAGTCCTTATTGTTTATGTATTTTATATATAGTAGTTAAAAATCTGCAAATCTCGAACTCCCAGTTTATCCCTTCCCACCCCATTTCCCCCCTCATAAACATAAGTTTTTCTATGTCTGTGATTCTGTTTCTATATTGTAAATAAGTTCATTTGTCTTTTTTTTTCCCAATTCCACATGACTGCTATCATATGGTACTTTTCTTTCTCTGTCTGGCTTACTTCACTTAGAATGACGATCTCCAGGTCCATCCATGCTGCTGCAAATGGCATTATTTTATTTTTTATAGCTGAGTAGTATTCCACTGTATAACTATACCACAAATTCTTTATCCAGTCATCTGTCAATGGACAGTTAGGTTGATTCCATGTCTTGGCGATTGTATATAGTGCTGCTATGAACATTGGGGTGCATGTATCTTTTCTAATTAGAGTTCCCTCCAGATATATGCCCAGGATTGGGATTGCTGGATCATATGGTAAGTCTATTTTTAATTTTTTGAGGAATCTCTATACTATTTTCCATAATGGCTGCACCAAACTACATTCCTACCAACAGTGTAGTAGGGTTCCCTTTTCTCCACACCCTCTCCAGCACTTATTGTTTCTGGACTTTTGCATGATGGCCATTCTGACTGCTGTGACGTGATACCTCATTGTAGTTTTGATTTGCATTTCTCTGATAATTAGCAATATAGAGCATTTTTTCATGTGCCTATTGGCCATTTGTATGTCTTCATTGGAGAATTGCTTGTTTAGGTCTTCTGCCCATTTTTGGATTGAGTTGTTTGTTGTTTTTTTTTATTAAGTTGTATGAGCTGTTTATATATTCTGGAAATTAAGCCCTTATCACTCGCATCATTTGCAAATGTTTTTTCCTATTCCATAGGCTGTCTTTTTGTTTTGCTTATGGTTTCCTTTGCTCTACAAAAGCTTGTAAGTTTTATTAGGTCCCATTTGTTTATTTTTGCTTTTATTTCTATTGCTTGGGTAGACTGCCCTAGGAGAACAATGCTAAGATTCATGTCAGAAAATGTTTTGCCTACGTTTTCTTCTAGGAGGTTTATGGTGTCTTGTCTTATGTTTAAGTCTTTAAGCCATTTTGAGTTTACTTTTGTGTATGGTGTGAGGGAGTGTTCTAGCTTCACTGATTTACATGCAGCTGTCCAGTTTTCCCAATACCATTTGCTGAAGAGACTGTCTTTACTCCACTATATATTCTTGCCTCCTTTGTCAGGTATTAATTGACCATATGTCTGTGGGTTTATTTCTGGGTTCTCTATTCTGTTCCATGGATCCATATGTCTGTTTTAGTGCCAATACTATGCTGTTTTGATGACTGTAGCTCTGTAGTATTTTCTGGAGTCTGGGAGGGTTATTCCTCCAGCTTCATTCTTTTCCTTCAGTATTGCTTTGGCAATTCTGGGTCTTTTGTGATTCCATATACATTTTAGGGTTATTTTTTCCAGTTCTGTGAAAAACTGGACTGTGTGTTTCTTGATGGTTAGAATACCATTAGCCTTAAATGTGTGCAAATGAAATCAACAGACTTTTGGGGCTTCTTGGCCACCTCTCTTTTGATATTGCCTACTCGGGGCAGCTAAGCTTCTCCTTGTTGGTTGGTTGGATGGTAATGGGGAAATCATGAGTGCTGGCTGTTCAGGATTTGTCCACTGGCCTTCTCTTCTTCCTGCTTTTTCTACATTCACTGATGTTTTTGTTACACTTGTCCATATGGCACAGAAGAGCTCCAGCTCAGACAGTGTGCTCTTTGTTTGGCAGGAAAGGAGTGATCAGAGTCTTGGCCCAGCCCTGCCAGTCCATCTTGCTTAGGGAAGCAAGAGACCAGACTTCCTTATTTGTTCCCCAAGCATTTACTCGAATGCCTACCCTGTACTGGGCCCTGAGCCAGACATTAGGGAGACAGACATGGAAATTGATCTGTCCTTGCCCTGCCTCTAGCACCCTGGGTGAGTCCTTTCTGGGCCTCTTCCATTTACCCATCTGATAGTTGAAGGGTGGGGGGTAGAAACCTGATCGGTAAGCAGCCTGGGAGCTGTCAACATTGTGGAACTTGTCTACTCGGGATACTCCAGCCCTCCCCACATCTGGGCTTTCTTCTGGAAGAGCCCAGGCCTGCCTCTCACCTCTCTCCCTCCTCCCCTGCAAATTCTGAGCAGACATGCTCCAATACCTCTCACCCTGTATGCGGCCAAGTGGCCTCAAGAAGCAGCTTGAGAAGCCCAGCTTGTCAGGGGGAAGGAGAAAAAGAGGACAAGGAGGAGGGCTGGGTGTCAGGCAGCCGTGCAGGGTACACTGGGGAAGGACAGCACATCCCACAGTGAACCAAAAAGGTTCCCTAAGCTCAACGCTGAAGATTCCTATTAGTCAGTCTAATCAGGGAGGCACAAATGTGGGGGGGGGCAGGGAGGAAGACAGAGTTCTGTTAATCTCTCCAGAAAAGGCTAAGGAATACATATTTCCTTGCACTTGTAGGACACTTTTTGTATTTGATTTTCCTTAGCAACCCCTTTGATTACATTCAAAAGAGTTTTTTTGAGCACCTATCTTCAAGGCCTTATGCTGAGAATACTGGCCTTTTCCATTAGGAGACATCACAAATTCAAGTGTATAGACAGTTTTGTGATTTTTTTTTGTTTGTGTAATGTCTGTCTCCTCTACTAGACTGTGAGTTCAGTGAAGGCGGGAATCATGTCCATCTTCTTCCTCACGGAATCTTTGGCACCTACAACAGTGCAGGGTAAATAGTAATCACTCAGTGGATAGTTACCCCCCCCCAAAAAAAGAATCTAGAGGTCTGGGACCTGGGGACAATCTTTAATTTTGCAAAAGACTGGTGTGCAGAAGCAAGCCTCTTAGCCAGAAACATAGCAGATGTTCAATAGACATGAATTGAACTAAATGAAGAATAATAACAGGAAACATTTACAATAGTACCCACTGTGGGCCAGGCCCTGTGCTGAGCACTTTACATTCACTCACTCGATCCTCAGAACAACCCTAGGAAGTAGGTACTATTATTACCTCCATTTGACAGATGGGGAAACCAAGGCACAGAGGTCAGCCACATGTAAGTGGCGGAGCTGAGATTTGAACCCCAGCTCTCTGGCCCTAAAGTCCACGCCCATAACTGCTTGCTGCACTGCCTTCCAACAAAAGATGGCCAAACCTATGTAGAGAGATGGAGCAATTTTCCATGGGAGGAACAAGGTGGAGATGGGACTGGAACCCAGGTCTGCCCTCTGTGTGATGCTTCTCCCACTGGCAGCTGGTACGGAGTCCCTGGGAACAGAGGCCCAAGGAGGGATTTGAGAAGTCTAGATCTCTGTGCAGAAAAAGGCCCTGGTCAACGAGGAGGCCCCCAGCAGAAGACGGGAGGAGCCCAAGAGCATCCACCAGGGCAGAAACAAGTGTGATGGCCGGGTCCCTTTTCTTAAGCCGGGAAAGGTAGCAGATTGCTTTTCAGGGGTCCTGTTTGAAGCCTAAGCCATTCCCTTTTTCTGCACTAATTTATGGCTAAGAGCATGATTGGCATGATTTAGTTTCAGTAAGGCTCAATAAGTCTTCATCTTTTGGGGGCCATGGACACCTTTGGCAGTCTGGTGAAACCTCTAGATCCCTTCTCTGAATAATATTTTTAAATGTGCAACATACACAGACTTACAAAGTAAGGACACCCCATCACAACCCCCATGAGACACACACAGAGCTAGAACCACCCTGAGGCAACTGAGCACATGTGGAGAAAGGTTGCATATTAGGGAGATTAGACAGTCTGATCCACGTGTGTGTAGGAAGTTGGGGTGGGGCAGAGGACAGGGAAGACTGGAGAAAAGGTTAGGTCAAGGCTAAAACCTCCAGCAGATAAAGGGACTCAGTGATGAGATTAAAGCAAGACACTTGTAATTTGCTTGGCTTTAGAGGCCCTGGCCTTCTGTTTGGGGTTCCTGCCACAACAGAACAGTACCACACCCATGGGCTCCCTCTCCCGACTGGACCTTCAGAGAAGCCTCCAAACCCTCTCTGTTTTGCAGTGGATCCCAGTCTATGTTATTTTAGGTGAGTGAACCCCATAGGCTGGAGAGAACAGGGGAGCCCACCAAGAAAGAGGCCAGGAATCTATAGTTGAGGAGGGCTCTAAAGAGATCATTTCACTGGAGGGGCTATGCCTCCCCACCCAGAGAGAGAGTTCCTGTTGAGTTCACTAGATTTCTCTCTTCCCAACTGAGGGGCATGAAGGCCAGGAGTGAGGCTGCAGTTGTTCTGGTTTAAGGATCACCCCAGCCTTTTCTCAGGACTACCTCCTCTGAACTTGCTGCAAAGAGTCCTATCTGGCGATGGGGGCAGAGGTGGTGCACTTGGTTGGCAGCACCAGTAGATGGAATGGGATTTTCCAGTATAAGAGTATGGTGAGAGAATTCTGGAAAATCAGAAGACTGCCTGAGTGACTCATTAGAGAGAATTTTGAGAAAGGGCCAGTTCTTCAGTGGACTCAGAGAATGATAGTCATCAGTGCCAGGCAAATGGGCTGAGACGTCCAAGCTTTTCCCAAAGCCTGAAACCAGGGCTTTGTGGGCAGCCAGTTATGGGGGCAAGCTGGGAAACTGGAAGGGGAGAAGTGTCATCCTGAAGGATGGGACAGGTTCAGAGGCTGCCGAGTCCAGTGCACAGGAGGCCATATGACCCCATAGAGCAGAGGTTCTTAACCAGGGGCCTATGGACCTAGAACTGGGAGAGGAGGGACAATTTTGAAATTGGAAGGGAAAAACTACCTCTTTATATTCACTAAGCTCATACTGAGAGGATGAATGTAGGCAGCAAACCACAGACGTAGCAGTGAATTTGTCAGCAATAGACATCACGGAGATTTACATTTCATATGCCGGTCGTTGCAGGCATAGCAAAAGTTCATTTACGCTCGTTACCACTTCTGAATTCCAGTAGTTATTGGAACTACCATTAGGTGTGGTTATTTAATGCATAAATCCAGAAGCCCGTGTTACTGTATCACATTTTCTGCAATATTCTGATAACTGTGGCTTTTAAAATTTTTTTATTGAAGTGTAGTTGATTTACAATGTTGTGTTAGTTTCTGGTATGCAGCATAGTGATTCAGTTACAGATACCTATGTATATATAGATATTCTTTTTCAGATTCTTTTCCATTATAGGTTATTACAAGATATTGAATACAGTTCCCTGTGCTAAATAGCAGGTCCTTGTTGTTTATTTTATATATAATAATGTGTATCTGTTAATCCCAAACTCCTAATTTATCTCCCCCTATCCCTTTCCCCTTGGGTAACCACAGTTTGATTTCTATGTGATAACTGTGTTTTAATATGATGAGTTTCCTTTGTAAGTCTGTGTATGTTGCGGATTTAAAAGTATTATTCAGAAAAGGGATCTAGAGGTTTCACCAGACTGCCAAAGGGGTCTATGGTCCCCAAAAGATGAAGACTTATTGAGCCTTACTGGAACTAAATCATACTAATCATGCTCTTAGCTTATCAGTGACTTGACTCTAGCTGTATTAAGATGAGGAAGTGATTCTTTTGTAAACTTATTTGTTCCTAGTCTTTCATTATTTTCTTTTCGTTTTCCTTTGCATTTATCTTAACTTCCTCAAAAAGACCCCTTGACACATTCCAGCCCTTAGCTAGGAAAGTGAGAAGTAAGGGATGTCGTAAGAGACTTGGCATCATGGTGGCAGCCAGCATTTCAAGTCCGGATCCCAGAAAGTGTGGGCCAAGACGGGCAGAGAGAGCAGGGAAAAGAGGTCAAGGGAAGAAGAGCTGTGTGAGCTGATCCTTCTTGGTGTGAGGTCTGTCCCACCCAGAAAGCCTCGGTGTGGTACTTGAAGCCAAGTGCCCAGATTGTTCTGGCTCTTCTGGGGAGCTCTCCTCAAGGACACGTTCTCATTTTTCTCCCAGAAAATATTTTCTTGAGTCTTTTTTTTCTCTTCCTTTCCCCCCTCTCAAAGGACATTGTCTCTGGAACAGGATAGAATAGAAGGTATCTTCAACACTGCATACGTAAGGGTCCAAGATGATGAGGGTTAGCCTCCTACTAATGCCCCCTCCCCAACCTCACCAGCTTCCAGTCACCCTAAAATCGCTGGAGGAGTGGAGCGGAGATGTTAGGGACAAATGATGGCACCTATGTGTCTTAAGTGAAAACACTAATAAGAAATGTGAATCTTTTCTTTCACCTACATTTTTTAAAGTTTTTTTTTAAATTGTGGTAAAACACACAGAACATAAAATCTACCATTTTAACCATTTTTTAATGTACAGTTCATGGTCATTAAGTACATTCAGAGTGTTGTGCAACCATTGCCACCATCCCTCTCCAGAATTCTTTTCATCTTGTAAAACTGAAACTCTGTCCGGTTCAACAATAACTCTCCAGTACCCCTCCCCCCAGCCCCTAGCAACCACCCTTCTCCTCTCGGTCTCACTTCATAGAAGTGGAATCATACACTGTTTGTCCTTTTGTGATTGGCTGATTTCACTTCACACAATGTTTTCAAGCTTTCTCCATGTTGTGACAGAATTTCCTTCCTTTTTAAGGCTGCATAATATTCCATTGCATGTATTTACCCCATTTTGTTTATCCATCTATCCGTTAATGGACACTTGGGTTGCTTCCACCTCTTGGCTATTGTGACTAATGCTGCTATGGACACGAGTGCCCAAATATCTCTTTCAGACCCTGCTTTCAGTTATTTGGGCTACATACCCAGAAGGATAATTGCTGAGCCACATGGTAATGCCATCTTTAAATTTTTTAAGGAGCTGCCATAGTGTTTTCCACAGCAGCTATGCAATTTTACATTTCCACCCGCAGTGCATAAGGGTTTCAATTTTTCTACATCCTCACCGACACTTCTTTATTGTCTATTTTTTTTAGTAGCCATCCAAATGGATATGAGGTGAAATCTCATTGTGGTTTTGATTTGAATTTCCCTAACGGTGAGTGATGTTGAGCATCTTTTCATGAGTTTATTGGCCATTTGTCTTGACTTCTTTGAAATTTATTATTTTTATCATTCCATTTGTCTTCCACGAGTTTATGCTGTCATACATCCTGTTTCTGTTCATTTAGGGATTATGCTAGAAATTACGAATCCTGGGTCTTGGAGGTTACCAAGGTAGCTAAAGCCTCTAACAGTGTATGATGCTCACAGAGGTGCCTAAGATTCAAAGGTGTTCAACAGTTATAGAGCAGTTACTCATTATAAGACCTTGGCTGTTCTTGCTGAGACTACAACAGTGTCTCAACTAGAGGTCCTTACTATCTAGCAACAAAGATAAACCAATCATTCATTCCACCATTGTACACACTCTGTGTGTCTGTACTGGACACATACACAAATCACTACACTGTAAGACAAACTGTAGGAAGTGAAGGAAAGAGCCACAAGGAAGTGTTATTAGGGTTTCACAGAAAGAAAATATCACGCCGTCTTAAGGTGATCAGGGAAGGCGGAAAGGGAAGCAGTGTGACAGAGTAAACAGGATATGGGTTCTGAAGTTAGTCAAACTTGGATAACAATTAGCTGTGTGACTTCCGACAAGTACTGTTCCCCGCCTAAGCCTTTGTATCCCCACCCTCTCAGCCTGGTCCCTAGTCAACGCTCCAGACAGAAAAGTGTCTGTCTTTCCCTCCTTCCTCCCGTCCTTCCTTCCTCCCTTCCTCCTCCCTAATTCCCTTCTTCCTTGTCTCTCTCACTCTCTTTCCTTCATTCCTTCTGTCTTGCTCAGAGCCTCCCTCAGTACTTCTCCTCCTTCCGGAATGGTGTTCAGCATCATGGCTGCTTACTGATCATTACTGGAAGAGATGGGGGAGGAAATAGGGGAAAGGGGAAGAGAAATGGCAGAGGGACAAGAAGGAGGGAAGCAGTGAGAAGAGAGGAATGAAAAGACGGTTTGGGGAAGATGTGGAATACAGAGATTCATGACCCTGGATGGATAGGGTAGAGTTCAATGGTAGAGCACATGCGTAGCATGCACGAGGTCCTGGGTTCTATTCCCAGTACCGCCATTAAAAAAAAAAGATTCATGACCCTTGAAATTAGGCAATGAGAGCCCCTCTGAGGCCCAGCTTCCAATTAGAGGATGGCTTTCCATCTGTCTCTTCCGAGCTTGGATCAGCATCAATATAAACTATTGCAAGATCCTCTTCCCTGGCCCCCTCCTCTCACCTATCCACCATCTCCAGTGAGTCCACTGCCTGCACCCAGAAGAGTCTTTCAAACACATCTTTGATCACAGCCCTCTCCTGCTCAAAAATAAGCAGTGGTTTTCCATTGCTGCTCAATGAAGTACACCTGTGTTATCCTGAGCATTCAAGGCCTCCTCCACTCTCTGGCTCTAACTCTCTACCAGCTCATCCTCTTACTCTTGCCCTGCATGAAGCTCGTATGCCAGGCACTCTCTTCACAGGACAAGTGTGAAGGGGACTCTCCCACTCCTTCCCCTCTGCTCTGTTTCCACCACTGGAAAGATTCCCTGATCACTCTTCCTGGACTATCCACGGACAGCAGTGTCCCTTTGAGATACTGCTCAAGTCATACCTTCTCTGGAGCATTTTCCAGGCAACCTGAGACTACATCATCTCTGGAAGTCTAGAGCCAGCTGTGTGACACATAAGTGGTTATTTAACCTCTGTGAACCTGGGTTCCTCATCCACAAAATGAGAATTCTTACTGTCCTAATGGGATCTTTATGAAGATTAAATAAGATATGCATATAAAATACTTTGTTTTACATAATGAGTATGCAATAAATGTTGGCTATCCCTATATGGGGAAAGTGAACAGGCAAGATGAATCAGAGATGATTTGAAGAAAGGACCACTTAGATTCGTATCAGTACCATCTTTAACTTAAGCTAGTAATTCACTAGTAATTTGAGGCTGTACAGGTTTAAATGTATTTTTTAAGTCAAGACCAAGGGTAAAGAAGGACATTACATAATGGTAAAAGGATCAGTTCAAGAAGATATAACTATCCTAAATGTGTGTGCACGTAACAACAGAGCTTCAAAATACTTGAAGCGAAAACTGACAGAAGTGAAAAGAAAAATAGACAAATTAACAATTATATTTGGAGACTTCCTTGGAAACCACAAACAACCAAAACTCACCCCCAAATGAAATAGATAACCTATAACCATTAATTAAATTAAATTTTAATTTTGGAAGGTTATAAACCTTCCAAAACAGAAATCTGCAGGCGCAGATGGTTTCACAGCATATTCTTCCAAACATTTTAAAGATGACATATCACAGATTCTACACAGTCTTTTCCAGAAAATAGAAGAGGAAGGAACACTTGCCAACTCATTTACGAGGCCAGACCCTGATCCTAAAACCAGACAAAACAGTACAAAAAAAGAAATCTACAGACCAATATCCCTCATGAATATAAATGCAAAAATCCTCAACAAAATAGTAGCAAATCAAAGCCAGCAATATATTACAAAGAATATACCATGACCAGGTGGGCTTTATCCCAGGAATGCAAGTGTAAATATTTGAGAATCAATGTAAACTACCATATTAGCCACCTAAAGGAGGGAAAAAACACACAATTATGTCAACTGATGCAGAAAAAGCATTTGACAAACTTTAATCCGTGATAAAACCTCTCAGCAAACTGGGAACAGAAGGCAACTTCCTCAACTTGTTAAAGAGCATCTACAAAAAAACCTGCAGCTAACATCATACTTAATGGTGAAAGACTAAAACCTTTCTCCCTAAGATGGGAAGATGGCGAGATGCAAAGCAAGGATGTTCACTCTCACCATTTGTATTCAACATCATACTAAATGTCTTAGCAAGTGCAAGAAAGCAAGAAGAATAAAAAAGAAAGAAAAGCATCCAGATTGAAAAATAAGAAATAAAATTGTCCTAATTCACAGATGACATGATCATCTGTGTAGAAAATCCCATTAAATTCAGTATTTATTTTATTTTATTTTATTTTATTTTATTTTATTTTATTTATTTAAATGGAGATAACTGGGGATTGAACCCAGGAGCTCATACATGCTAAGCATGCACTCTACTACTGACCTACACCCTCCCCACCTCAGTATTTTTAAAACCTATTTTTTACATCTTCTAAAAAAAACACTCTAAGAACTAACAAATGAGATTATTAAAGTAACAGGACACATGATCACACATAAAAATCAACTATAATTCTATACACTAGCAGAGAACAATTGAAAATAGAAATTTAAAGACAATACCATTTAAATGCCTCCAAAAATAAAATACTTATGAATAGATTTAACAAAATCTGTACAGCATCTATAGCCTAAAAACTATAAAATGCTAATGAATAAATAGCTAGAGACATATTATGTTCATGGGTTGGACGACTCAACATAGTAAAGATGTCAGTGCTCCTCAAAACTGATCTATAAATGTAACACAACTCAAATAAAAAATCCCAGCAGGGTATATTAGATAACAATTTTTCATAAATATTTAATTTCCCAAGTTTGATAATAGCACTGTGGGTGCTATCAGGTCAAAGACTGCCTTTGTTTTTAGAAAATACACAGTTATTTAGCAGCAAAGGGTTGTGATCTCTGCAATGTACTCTCAAATACAAACATATGTATGTACTTATGTTTAGAAATAAATCAGATGTAAAATGTTAACAATGGGAGGCAAAGGTTATATGGGATTTTATTAAAATATTCTTGCAAGGGGGAGGGTATAGCTCAGTGGTAGAGTGCGTGCCTAGCATGTACGAGGTCTGGTTTCAATCCCCAAGACCTCCATTAAAATAAATAAATAAATACATACATAAACCTAATTACCCACCCCAACAAAAATGAAAAAATAGAAGGTGTATATATTTTGAAAAATATTCTGGCAGATTTTCTGTCGATCTAAAGTTTTTTTTTTCCAAACTAAAAAGTTTAATTAAAAATCTCCCATCAGGAGATTTTGTAAACATCGATAAGCTGATTCTAAAATTTATATAGAAAAACAAAGGAACTACAATATCTAAAAGAATTATGAAAAAGAATAAAGTTAGAGGATCACACTCTCTGATTTAAAGACTTAGTATAAAACTGCAGTAATCAAGACAGTGATGTATTGGTGAAGGGAAAGACACATTGATCAGCAGAACAGAATACAGAGTCCAGAAACAGACCCACACAAATATGACCAATTGATTTTTGACAAAGACACAAAAGCAATTCAATGGAGGAAGGATAATCTTTTCAACAAGTGATGTTGGGACAACTGGATATCCATCTGTAGTAAATGGACCTTGACCAAAACCTCACACCTTATTATAACAGTAACTCAAAATGGATCTAAATGTAAAACATGGAACTGTACAACTTTGAGTAAAAAACAGGAGAAAACCTGCATAATCTGAGGTCAAATAAAGAGTTCTTAGATTTGACATCAAAAGCACAATCTGTAAAAGAAAAAAGACCTGGTAAAATCGGACTTCATCAAAATTAAAAGCTTTTGCTCTAAGAAAAGACTCTGTTAAGAGGATAAAAAGATAAACACAGACAGGAGACAATGTTCGCAAATAATGTATCCAACAAAGGACTTGTATCCAGATTGTATAAATCAGAACTCTCAAAACTCACTAAGAAAACAAACAACCCAATTGAAAAATGGGCCAAATATTTAAACAGACACTTCACCAAAAAGGATATATAGAAGGCAGATAAGCACAGAAGAAGCTGTTAAGCATCATTAGGTATTAGGGAAATGCAAATAAAAATTATAATGAGATACCATGCTACACATCTATTAGAATGACAGTCATTTTCAGTACAAACTAAATTAGGAGCTTACCTTATGTGAACTCCCTCCTTGATAATCCACTCCAAAACTTCTAACTTGAACATGGACAAGATGTTGGAAGCATCTCCCGGTGTCAAGGTCATAATATCTCAGGGAGGGCCACACATACACATGGTCGTTCTTCATTCTTGCCTCAGATACCCTTGCGTTCTATCACAGAACCCATTGTTCCACAAAGTTATGCTCTCCCAATTTTGGCCTCTGTTTCTCCTGTATCTTTAAATCCCATTTCTGTCACCATGAGTGACACAGATGATAATCAAACAGGCTGGTCTCCAAGACTTGCCCTGGAAGGACACCTATGGTCTCCTGAGGTGCCATGCAGTTCTAATAGATTCCACAAGGGGGATGGTGTTTTCAAGGTCTGGCTCTTGGTAGATAACTGAAAATCATAAGATATAAGGCACGCAATTAACCCATCTAAAATTTTAAAATAACATCAGATTTAAAATAAAATAAATGCTTGGTGGGGAGTGTATAGCTCAGTGATAGAGCACATGCTTAACAAGCACAAGGTCCTGGGTTCAACCCCCAGTACCTCCATTAAAAACAACTAAAATAAATAAATAAACCTAATTCTACCCCCTCCAAACACACACACACACACACACACACACACACACACACACACATACACACACACACACATTTTTTAAGTACTTTGAATGGTGTGGTCAACAATGTATGGGCTTTAAAAAAACATAAATGCTGACTAAACACTAATCATTTAAGTTTACCTAATATTGAAAAGAGAAAACATTTCTTTATCTTTCAGCCAATCTATAGATATTTGTTGAACATCTGCTGGGTATAAGGCATTGTTCTAAACACTGGGGATACCAACTAAACTTATTAGAAGTAAGATAAAAAAGAAATTATATACACGTAGACAACTTCTAATTAACAATGATTCATATTTAACTTTATCTGAGTTTTCTTCTGAAGCTTAACCCACAAATTTCCTCTCATCTTTTACGGAGGTCAGAGGTAGCAGGATTTTTACCCACGACAGGCTTCTCATAAAATTCCCCACCCCCACACGCTATTTCCTATTGAATTAGCGTGCTTACAACAACCATTTTGGCCAGCTCTTGTAAGCGGACTCAGACTATCACTAGGCTTTTATCTACTCCACTACTCCACTCAACTACTTTTTAAAAAAATGCCCATTCCATCTTTTTCCTGTTATTTTCATCTACGTTGAAAATGCAAGCGACAAACCTGCTGGTAGGTAACTCCTGAGTTTCTTCCCCTTCTCTAAAACTTTTATCTACCATGATGTGGTTCTCTGGTCAAAGAAGTCATTCCTTTTCCTGGGTCCTTTTTTTTTTAATTCACAATATGTGTGCTTAGCCCCTCTTCTCATGAATGCAGATCTTTGTTTTGTTATTTAAATTTTTTTTAATTTTTAAGTTTTTGAAGGGAGGAGGTAGTTAGGTTTTTTCATCTATTTTTATTTTAATGGAGATACTGGGGATTCTATGCTAAGCACACGCTCTACCCCTGAGCTATACCCTTTCCCCCCATGAATGCAGATTTTAAAATGGACTGCTGCTCCTGCTGCCTCTAAGATGTATCACGTTTGCATTTCACAGCCTGCTGTGGCCCTTTGCTAACTAACAGAGATGATTTTTTCCCTCTTCCAAACCTTTGAGATATTTGGAATGGGACAAAATCAAACCCAGTAAAGCAATTTCTAATACGTGTTTTCCTCTCAGCATCAAACAGCCTGTACACTGCAGGCAGTCCCCCTCCACCAAAATGTGCTGACAGAGCGGTTCCACAAAGGAAGGAGGGTTGAGTTTTTAGAGAGGACTTCCTGAGGTCCCAGAATGGGGATGTCAGTCACTGGCCCAAGGTGCTATTCTTTCCATTTGCCAAGTAGTGCTGGCCTTTGACCCCAGCTGAGGGCCTGCTCTGAGAACATCATGGTTCTGCGGTTTCCTCAGTTAAGATCTCAGACCCAGATCCAGGGACTCAGAGGTCATCTTGGACCACAGCAGACCTAGGCTAGGGTGGGAGGAGGGGATAGGGAGTCTCCCACCAGCCTTGACCTGCTCCTTCCGCACAGAGCAGAGATCGGAGTTATGAGAGATGCATTAAACTTGAAGAGAACTGAAGGGCATGAACCCTTTCTGTCCCCCTCAGGAGCTATTCCTATTTTCCTTATACCCTACTTTCTGGTCTTCACAAAGTTCTGGATGGTGTCCGTGCTTGCCTTAGCCTGGCTGGCCTATGACTGGAACACCCACAGTCAAGGTAAGAAACGGGGGAAGAGTGGTGGTTCCTGTCGGTGCCAAGGATGTAAGCACGGGGATGGGGGCGGGGCAGGTGTGGAAGGAGAGAGGTGGAGAGGAAGAGGGAGGAGGGGGAGGAAAGAAGGGGAAAAGGAAAGGAAAGGAGGGCAGGAGGTGGAGAGAGGCAGAGGCAGAAGGAGCAAAGGAGGGGAGAGGGCAAGAGAGGAAGAGAGGAGGGCGAAACTCACCAGGGAATAGAGGCGCAGGGGCTCCCTGTGTCTTCATCCTTCCTGGTTTCTGGGCGGGTGCCCCCAGCCTCAGCCAATTTCCCGCTCACCTTTCTGGCTGCTTCCAAGGAGCAGGGGCTTCCTGTGTCTTCCTGGGGGTTGGATTCAGGGCCAGTACGTGTAGCTCTGTGCCCTAAAACGATGGACATGTGAGAAGGGGGACCCTCCCATGACCTGAAGACTTTCAGAGGAATACTCCACCTCTGGGACAGGTAGAGGGATTGGCGACATCTCAACCACTCTTCCCTTCTCTTCTGTACCCGCAGGGGGTAGGCGTTCAGCTTGGGTACGAAACTGGACCCTCTGGAAGTATTTCCAAAATTACTTCCCAGTAAAGGTGACTACCCTTCCTCTGGGTGCCCTCGTTCCCTGACGCCCAGACTCTCCCTCCTCACTCAGCAACATGTTTCCAAAGGCTTTGGTGGCCAGCAGTGGAGGGCAAGGCCCAGAGGCATAATGCAGAGGACAGGCCCCAGATAGATGGTGGGGGAGGGGAGATGCATGGATAGCAGACTTTCCTCTCAAAGGCAAACCCAGCTCAGCCTCTCTGAGCATTGTTAATACCTGGCAACCCCATGAAAATGATGACATCCTAATGAATAGGGATTTGGGGCTCCCCAAGGGAAACACATGCTACCTGCTGAGATCTGAGTCCACATGTCCTCTCTTACTTCTATCCACTGCTCTGACTCAATTTCCCTCTAACAGCTGGTGAAGACTTATGACCTCTCTCCCAAACACAACTATATCATTGCCAACCACCCCCATGGCATTCTCTCTTATGGTGTCTTCATCAACTTTGCCACCGAAGCCACTGGCTTTGCTCGGATTTTCCCAGGCATCACTCCTTATGTAGGGACCTTGGAAGGGATGTTCTGGATCCCAATTGTGCGAGAATATATAATGTCAATGGGTGAGTATAAGAAATCATTCCATTCTCTGACCTACCTTAGGGCTCCCAAGTCCAAGAAGCCCTGGTGGTCAGTCCAATTCTCACTCTCTGCTGGAAGAGGACTTAGTAGAACATGAGTCTGGAACACACTGGGCCAGGAACAGGAGTATAGGGCCAAGTCTCAGGTTCTGTCCAAGATCTGGGAGGCAGGGTTTGGTTAGGCACCAGGGTAAATTATGGGCATTCGTAAGAGTTGCCAGGAATCCTTTCAGAGGAGGAAGTGGATGCCTGGAGTTCAGGGTCAAAGCCAAAGTGGAAAGCAGAAAGCAAAAGCCAAATCCAAAAAGATCAAAGCTGGGGAGGGAAATAGCTCAGCAGTAGAGCACATGCTTAGCATGCATGAGGTCCTGGGTTCAATCCCCAGTAACTCCATTAAAAAAAAAGACAGATCAAAACCAAATGTGGGGAAAAGGAGGCATGAATGGGACAGCTCAGATGAACTTTGCTGGATTCTTTCTGGGACGTCAGTTGGCTTCTTTTGGCCAGTCATTTGTGTAGCAGCTCTCATCCCAGGGCATCTCAAAGACACTTTTAAGTCTTTCATATTAGCTGGTACCTTCCTGGCCCATGACCTTCGTCTCCTGGGAACCCTTTCGAACTTGTGTAAGATGTCAAGGGATAAAGGATAGGTCTCCATCAGAATCCAGGACAAGTTCTCCAAGCCAGGCTTCAAGCCGGGGTACTGTGACAAAAGTCCTTCTCTCTAGATGAATAGTCATCCTTCAGGACACCAGAAAACAACTGAAGCCAAACATTAAAAGGTAAGATACATTTATATCTGGGGCCAGGTGGGACCACAGAGTCCCAGAGGATGGTTCCACTCCCCTCTGAGGTTGGCATGAACCTGGAACAGTGGTATCTCAGTGACTGTGGCCTGAAGGCAATTTCTGCCATCCCAGGAGAGAATGATAGGGCAGCACAGGGCAAAGATGGGAAGAAGTGAGGAAAGACTCCGTGACTCTTGTCGATTAACAGGATGTCCTCCTCATTCCATGGTTCATCTGCATTCCAATTTGGCTTGGATAGGATCCTAGGTCAGCTTACTCTCCAGAAACCCCAGCCAATGACTTCCCTTTGCCAGGTGGCTTGAAGGAGGAAGCTGGTTGGCGGCAGCTCTCCCTGATGACCCCAAAGGAAGAGAACTCTGGAGAGTCTCCAGCGCTGTCAGCCTGGGGAGAGTGAAAGATGGTTGGGGTTCATGGGTGGAGAGGGAAGGGATGGGCTTAAATACTACAGAACTGAGAGAGAGTAGGCAGAAGAACTCAATGCAGAGCCAACTATAGTAGCCCAGACCCCCAAGGCAAGCAGCTGACCCTAAGGCCCAATCTCAGGTGAGGGCTGACCCAGGCTGTGGAGATTCAAAGACAGAAGAGTGGAAAAAACAATAGGCAGGAGACAGAAGAACTGTCTCTGGCAGGAAGAGCCCAGAAGAACCCCTGACCTCATCCTCAGGCACTAAGTATGTTACGTCACTTGACTCTTTGGTTTTGCAGGTGTGTGCCCAGTGAGTAAGTTGGCCTTGAAGTTTTTGCTGACCCAGAAAGGCTCAGGCAATGCTGTGGTGGTTGTGGTGGGTGGAGCTGCTGAAGCCCTCTTGTGCCGGCCGAAAGCCTCTACCATCTTACTTAAACAGCGTAAAGGTTTTGTGAAGCTGGCTCTGCAAACCGGGTGGGTCCCTCCGTTCTGGTGCCCTATTGTTAGGGTACCATAGGTCCTCCGTAGCATCTCTCTGGAATCTCTTCACTTGGATTGCTTCTCTCTACTCTCTCATGCTGTGCCCTGAAGGTGTTTGGGCTTCCAGACACATTCTGGTGGGCACTTTAACTTGAAGTTGGAGAAAGAACAGTAGAAGACCTACACTTTCTGCCCATGAGCCCGGCAGACTGGGGGTCTGGGAAAGAGGGGCTTCAGTGTATAGCAATCCATTAACTCAGAGGCCTGGAAAACCTACCCAGGGCAAGGAAGGCACTGGGCTTGATGCTGTGGGGATGATGAATAAGACATGGTTACTGCCCCTCAAAGAGCATGTAGTCTGGTTTGAGAAATAGAATGCATTCATTCAGCAGTTTTTGAACACCTCCTGTGCATCAGGCATAGTACTAGGCATTGAGGATCTAAAAATAAATCTGGTCCTTGCCTTTAAGGAACTCACAGTCCAACAGAAGACAGACATCATCACCTAGAATTACAACATACATCTAGAAGCCAACCACTTACCATCTAAACTGCCACCCCCTGGTTTGTCACCCTGTCGTCTCTCCTCTGGATTATTACAGTAGCCTCCTAAGTGCTCTCCTTGTTTCTGTCCTTGCTTCCCTCACATCCAGGAGCCTATCCTCAACCATAGCCAGGATGATCCTATTAAACATGAGTCAGATCATGTCACTATTTCAAATGCTCCAATGGCTCCCACTTCACTCCGAGCAAAATCAAGTCTTTATAAGGGCCTGCAAAACCCTAACTGATCTGTTCCTCAGCCACCTCTCTGATCTCATCACCTACTGCTCTCCCCCTTGCTCACTCCCTTAGGGCTACACTGGCCTCCTTGCTGTCCCTCACACAAGCCACACGATCCTCCCTTAGGGCCTTTGCTCTAGCTGTCCCCTCTGCCTGGGACAGTATTCCTCCAAATAACTGCTTGGCTCATTCCTTCACCTCCTCTAGGTCTTGGCTCAAACATCTCTTCTCAGTAAGGTCTGTCCTGACTATCCTGCTCTGTTTTTTCTCATTGCACTTAGCATCTTCTATATCATCAGTTTCTTTATTTCTTTATTTATTAGAAGCAACTTTTCTTTATATTCACATGCAGTTTTGGATTTGAGGTCAACATTAACCAGCTCTTTTTTGGTTTTATTTATTTATATATCTGTTTTTAAATTTTTTCAGTATTATGGTTTATTGTCTGTCTTCCCTTCATAAAAGGTAAGCTCCATGAGGACAGAGATTTTTTTTTAATCCATTGTGTTCACTGATGGATCTGCAGGACTTAAAACAGGGCTGGCACATAGAAAGAACTCAATAAATATTTGTCGAATGGAAGAAGTGCCACCATGGAGATATGTACAAAGCACTATGGGAGCACCAGTTGATGGAAAGTCTTTCACCCAAAGTAGAGGTTTCATAAATGGGTGATATCTGAATTGTGAATTGAAAGATTACTAAGGATTGCCAGTCAGACCAAAAGGCAGAAAGAACTCAGGGGACCTACGACGG